TTCCCAAACATAATATCTATAACACAATCAAATTTCTATCTATGGCATAATCTCGTTACTCTTTGCAATAGTCACGAAAATAACCTTTTCATTGTACAGTTTCTCATATTTGTACAATTTGCCCTTGATCACTGTTTAGTAGTTCTCATCCAGACATCCAACACAATTGTTCTCATAACACTGGAGATAGTTTCCCAAACAGCTAGTTCCCAGTAACCAGCATTTTGGTTCAGGTATGGTATATATAATACACCAAGCTGTGAATCTAAACATGCACATATAAGTAATATATTTAATACGTAGACACCATACTTGAAAATTTGTTACAAACCTCAGACTTGAGTTAATCCTAGGAGTGACCACAGGACTGTGTGTGAGAAAGTCTCAGGGACAAACACAAAACCTTTAAAACCACCTACACTCCCTCCCCGGGGCCACAGATGAGGCAAGGGGGTCTCCATGAACAGACTGAAAACTGCTCCCTGTGCACATAAATGATGCTTTTTCACAAAAAAAAACCACCCACAAGCAACCACAGCATCACATTCCCATTCTTTGGGACCTCTCCTCTGAACTGCAGCACTGTTTATAGACATATATGCAAGATATTTCAACTACAAGAAATAAATACTGGGCTATTTTGCCCCATCCCTGGGGAAATGGTGTTCCCGAGAAAATACTGCTCTCTGCTGGCCTGGCCTGCTTTTCCATGAGGGCCTCGCTTCCCACAGTCTTAACGTCTTCCCCAGTGAAAAGGGGAAAGAACACCTCGTTTTGCTGGCTCTTTAATTGCATCTTTTAGCAACTGGTGACAGAAGCATCTTTCATTCGGGTTGAAAAACACTATATTGCAAAGGAGAACAGTTTCAACACCACATAAATCTTTTGTCTTGAAGAAAAAAATGCAAGCGGTCCTTGAACCTGAGTAATTCTCCAGAAGTATTCCCCTGTTTTCTTGCAACTTGAACGAAAAAAAAAACGGCTGCGCATGTAGCAGGCTGCCCATTGTAACGAGCTCAGACAAGAGTGTATTTGTAAATGTTAAGGGACTGAAGTCCTGTTCTGCACTTAGGGAGACTTGTTCCTCGGTGAGAATTTTCACAGCGGCCCAAAATCCCAGTAACAATCACAGGATTTGAGATGAAGCTCCCCGATGTTTTACTTTAAAGGACAACTCCAAGCCTGGGTAGTTCCCTGGCCTGAAACTTGTAACATCTCTACTCTATATCCCCCTGCCTTTTTTTTTTTTTGTGGTTTTACCAAAAGGGGATCACTCAGACCAAAGCTACCTGAAAACCAGCTTATTTACATTGAATCTACCTTCACGCTGCCACTGAGTATCGCTGTGCTACAGCTGGTATAGCAATAACCATAAAAGCTGACGACTTTTAATCTGTCAGCGTCTCATATTTGCGGTCAGAGTAAGGCGATGCAATGCTGCAGACCCACCGAGACCAGCCACCCATGCCCACCTGCAAGTGTCATCCTCCCCTCTGTCCCAGGGATAAAGGGTATTTACCCAGCAGTCAGGCTGCATCTTCGCTGAGGGTCTCCTGTCTATCTTCTTCCCGATGGATTTACAGCTCCTGAGATGCTGTGACCGACCGGAGTGCTACAGCAGCAATTTTGGGATTAACACCGACTGGAATTACCAGAATGCTCTCAGCTGTTTTTTTCCAAGCAGCCTGCAGGCTCAGACAGGCTTCTGTGGAGAAACCACACTAGGTGTCAGGGTCTCACTTACAAACTAAGAAACTAAATATAGATCCTGTTGCCATCACGTCCCTGGGAAGCCACAAATTTTAAAGATTTTTTTTTTAAGTCTTTGCGCCTTAATCTTCCCTTACACAACTCTCCTATTAATACCACGATTCCTTTTAAATGTAATTAAACAACATTAAAGCAAGTTCTAAAAATAATTGGAAAGATCAGTTTCATTTAGCCGGGTAAAAGAGGGATTTTGATTTCAACAGTAACCATCAAATTTCTCAATGCCTGCTACCTACTGGGCAAACTAATTTATTTTCCAAACACTGCAATGAGGGGGTAATTTACTAGAATAAATAAAAAGCCTGGGAGACTCTGTGTGCATTCCTGGAGTGGGGTCTCTCAGCACAAACACCTCCATGGAGCTTTGGAAGCGGAAGGAGGGATCGCCGGGAGGATGCGAGCCTCTCACCCGCAGCCGACAGCATCACAGCGTAGACCTCTGCTCTGCATCCCATTTCCAAACGTCAGTATCTGTCTCTTTCCCTCACACCTTGCACTTGCTGCTGTGTGCTCACGCATCCTCACTCCCAAAAGCACCTCTCCACATTCTTCTAGATTGGGTGGAAGCTGCTGCAGGAGTAATTTTAGCTGGTGAAAGACAAAATGATCTAAGTGGAAGAAAAGCTATTAAGGAACTTACTCAAGCAGAAAAACTGCTAGAGGAACACGGGGTAAGAAAAAAAAAAAAAACAAAGCAGTGACCCAAGGGTGTCCTTTGCTCTCATCTACCAACACTTTCTGGCTCATAGCTGGACCCAACTTGCAGGTGAGAAGATCTTGCCAGGGCTAGATCTCACAAGTGGAGCAGGGGGTGTCCAGAAGTGAGGCTGGCCATCTCCTTGGTGACCTTATCCCAGGGCTACAGGGCCTCTCCCTTCATTTGCACAGGCCCTGCTCTGCTCCTCAGCTGCCTTCTGTGCCTCACCTCCTCTCACCTTGGGGACTGTTTCTCTCACACCTATAGAATCATAGAATGGTTTGGGTTGGAAGGGACCTTAAAGACCATCAAGCTCCAACCCCCCTGCCCTGGGCAGGGACACCTCCCACCAGACCAGGTTGCTCCAAGCCCCATCCAGCCTGGCCTTGAACCCCTCCAGGGATGGGGCAGCCACAGCTTCTCTGGGCAACCTCTTCCAGTGCCTCACCACCCTCAAAGTGAAAAATTTCTTTCCAATATCTAATATAAATCAATCCTCTTCCAGTTTGAAGCCACTACTCCTTCTCCTATCATGACGCCCTTGTAAAAAGTCCCTCCCCAGCTCTCCTGTAGCTCCCTTCAGATATTGGAAGGCTGCTCTAAGGTCTCCCTGGAGCCTTCTCCTCTCCAGGCTGAACAACCCCAGCTCTCTCAGCCTGTCCTCAAAGGAGAGGTGCTCCATCCCTCTGATCATCTTTGTGGCCCTCCGCTGGACATGTTCCAACAGAATCATAGAACGGTGAGAGTTGGAAGGGACCTTAAAGATCATTGAGTTCCAACCCCCTGCCCTGGGCAGGGACACCTCCCACCAGACCAGGTTGCTCCAAGCCTCATCCAGCCTGGCCTTGAACCCCTCCAGGGATGGGGCAGCCACAGCTTCTCTGGGCAACCTCTTCCAGTGCCTCACCACCCTCATAGTGAAAAATTTCTTCCTAATATCTAATATAAATCAATCCTCTTCCAGTTTGAAGCCATCAGCCCTTGTCCTATCATGACATGCCCTTGTAAAAAAGTCCCTTCCCATCCCTCCTGTAGCCCCCTTCAGACATTGGAAGGTCGCTATAAGGTCTCCCTGGAGCCTTCTCTTCTACAGCCTGAACAGCTCCCTCAGCCTGTCCTCACAGGAGGGGGGCCCAAGCCCTCTGATCATCTTTGTGGCCCTCCTCTGGACTTGCTCCAACGGGCCCAGGTCCTACGTATGTTGGGGGACCCCAAGACCTGGGCACAGTACTGCAGGTGGGGTCCCACCAGAGCTGAGGGGCAGAATCCCCTCCCTTAGCCCTCCCAAAGCCACGCTGCCTTTGATACAGCCCAGGCCACGGGGCTGGCCCTGCAGAACCGCCACCACTGAGAGGGGCTCCGCTGGGCCTTGCCGGGGGTGGAACCGGCCTTGCGGAACCGGCCGTGTCTCCCCTCTCCTCACGGAGGAGCTCCCAGAGCGGCCAAGGCCTGCCCCGAGCCCCGGCCTTAGTAGGGGAGCGCTGAG